TTTTTATTTATTTTTTTATTTATTTATTTATTTATTTAATCTTATTTGCCTACAGAAATAGACAAATGGCGGACTTAATGCCAAATAGGCATTCTCTACCAGTCAACCAGTAAATTTAGTAAAAACTTAAAGAGGCGACAGACATAACGAATTAACATAATATACTATATACATAATATATATATATATATATACATATACATATATATATATACAATAAAAGATATATATACATTTACATAAACATATACATATACATATATTTTCTGTTCCCATTTCCCCGTTCATAAAAATATGACTGTCAATATGTACTGTGGTGGAATTATATGGTCAGACAAGAGTCAAAATTGCCATCTAGTATAGTCTTAGTGTACACAGTGGTTAACAAAAAATCTTATTCAGTGGAATTTATTAAATGATGGTGCTGAATGGTAATTTAAAAACAGTAAAAATTAGGAGTGTAGCAGCAAATATCTCTGTGAAAAATACAAATCTAGTGTTAAAAGAGAAGTTCCACTAGTATCCTTGGGCTTCCTAGATATGTAGTCCTTTGTCTTAATAGGCTCCTGCATTCCAGTATCACATGAGCGCTTGTGCGCTGGAATGGAGACTGAGGAAACAATCTCCTCAGTCTCCATGCACGCCCTGCACAGAGGACTGTCAGAATAACCCATGTTATATAGGTGTTTGTTAAAGTTTCCATGTCCAGTAAGTATACCTACTATTTGCCTTAGAGTCCTGTTGCTTCAATCCATTTATTTTTAATATGAGGATCATACGGAAAACTAAAACAAAAATTACAGTATAATTCAATATAAAATTAATTATCATTTCTTCTGTTTTCAAAAACGATATTTTTTTTATTGGGTATAAAAATCGCATTGTACAGCACTATTCTCCATTTTTGACAGAAAAAATGATTATTTGTCCTCCAACAAATTGACCTTGAATTATACATCGATGGTTTTACAAGCACAGTAAATTTGGACTGTCAAATTAAAGCCGCAATGGAAAGCTATTACTGGATCGTTATGATAAAAATAATACGGAGCAACAAAACTAATGATTTTTAATTCAAAATAGATATATCAAGGCAAATAGTTACTTACTGATGGAAGGAAATACCTCGACTATAAGATATTGGTGGTGTTTGAGCAGGTAATTATTGAACAACGCGTCATTTCAAATTTCGTCCAACACCGATTGCGATCGAAAGTGGACCCTTTTGGTAATATTATATTTCTCTATGAAGTGGACTGAGCCTCGCGGCGAGCAATGGAGCTGTCTAGACGTTGTTTCGGCACGCGAAGTACGTACACTTTTTTCTTCTAACTAGATATATTTCTGTGAACCAGAAGGAACTTTTCCATAAGGGATTCCCCCCAATCTGGCAACATTGAATCGAGTCTTGAATTGATTGAGCTTGACGTTCATTTATCTCCCCCGTCGTGCCCCTCACATACCTCAGACGTGCCTCAGACGGTGACTAGCACCATATATTAATATTGTATATAGGGTAACTAGCACTTGCGCGCACACTATAAACAATTATATAAAATGACAGATTCTAAATCAAAAGTAATATTTTTTTTATTATCAATTGAAACAGTATTTTTAGGCTAGACTAAGTTTAAGTTATGATTCAAAATCATATCAATGCAGTAACGTCATCTATTTAGTTCAGTGTATTATGTGCCATGCAATGACATAACAATAAAAGAGGTAGCTTGGAATGTGTGCGTTTATGTACCGTATTCATTTTTAAAATGCCATTTGTAGAAATTACATAAGTAAGTTGATTGAGGATCAACGGGCACATTTTATTCGTAAGTATACATTTTTAATGATAAAATATTTAAATAATAAAAATCAAACTAGATATCACTAGAGATTTCTGAAGTAATAAAATTAACTTTAGTATCGAAAATTAATAAATATGGCATCGTTTCGTGTTTCTTGCATGTTAAGAATAAATGAGAATATCTATTGAATTCGAATAAAATATTTACTGACTAAAGAAAACATAACAGAAACTCTTCTTATAAAATAACAAGTTACTAAGCAACTAAAACATGTTAAGAACTTAGAACTAGGAACAAGTATCTTCATATAATTGTCTTTGTTATGTATATACTTCACATTGCAACATATAACTTTCAAATTAATTTTAATTTATTTGAATCGTAAGTTTAAGTTATTTGTTATGTTACGTGTAAAGGAACGATGTTTGGTTTATATGTCAACATTAGTGATGTGCAACTTATCGGTTTCTTGATTCATTCGAATTTAGGTTTAGAAAGAAGAACAAAAAGCGGAGCGCAGAATTCAGCTTGTTGACACGTCGAATGATACGAGGGTCAAACTGAAAGTTCTTAGAAAATCAAAAACTGATTACATTAGCCAGTTATTAGTTTTATTATATCTTTTCAAAATATTGTCCATTCACGTCAATACACCGCTGCATGCGATGGAACCACTGGGAAAAGCACTTTGCCCACTCGTCCTTAGGGGTCTCTTCAATGGCATCGCGATACGCAGCCACCGCTTCTTCAGCATTCATAAACCGCTTTCCTTTAAGTTTTTCTTTAATTTTTGGAAATAAATAAAAATCACAAGGCGCGAGGTCGGGGCTATACGGCGGGTGACCCAGTAATTCAACGTTTGATGTCGCCAAATAGTCGATCGTTCGCTTGGCGGTGTGCGACGAGGCGTTGTCGTGGTGAAGGAGGATCCTACTGCGAGGTCGTTTCTCTCGAACTTTTTCCAAGACAAGTGGCAAACAATTGGTAGTGTACCATTCTGCAGAAACTGTTTTTTGATCCTCTAACACAATTGTTGCAAAATGACCTATCCTTCCAAAGAACGAGGCCACCATTTTTTTTCCCGCACTTCGATCTCTCTTCACTTTAGTTGGCAACTCCTCGAAAGGAAACACCCACTGAGCAGATTGTCTTTTGGTTTTAGGATCATAACAGTAAATCCAGCTTTCGTCACCTGTTAGTATGTCGAACACAGCATTTGAGTCACCTCCGTTAAATCTTTCAATCATTTTACGACACCAATCCACACGATGGAGTTTTTGAGCCTCAGTCAAATTATGAGGTATCCACCGGGCGCAAAGCTTCCTGACCGCTAAATGTTCGTGGAGGATTTTGTGCACTTGACTCATACCGATGCCTAAGCTTGTCCGAATCTGTTGATAGGTCACTCTTTTGTCAGTCTCTATCATACGCCGCACAACACAGATGTTATCTTCAGTCGTCGCCGTAGAAGGCCGTCCCTCACGTAAATCATCAGTGAGATTAGTGCGACCACGTTTAAACTCATTAAACCAGTTGTAAACAGTCGCACGAGATGGGGCTTCATCGTGAAAGGCCAATCGTAGTCTATCATAACTTTCTTGTTGACTTAAATGACATCGAAAGTCATAAAAAATCATTGCACGAAAATTTTCTCGTGTTAAATTCATGATGACGTGACACAGACAATTTTCAATTTGCCGCCAAATCGTAAAACAAATGACAAATGAATGAAATATATACTCAGTAATATTGGCAAAGAGTTATATTTTCAAATTTTAGAATTATTTTTTTATTATATTGTTTATAAGTGGCCAGTTCTAAGAACTTTCAGTTTGACCCTCGTATTAATATAGATATCAAAATCAATTCAGTCTAGGCTGTTACATAGCACTTGTAAAAATCGAAAACTATGATTCGCTATTAATGATAAAGATGACGGCGTTGAAACATTTGATCGATTAGTCGGCATACTCGTGCAAAAAAATATTGTATAATATTTTAGAATTTAAATTTGTAGGTATAATTCTTATTTTTATAACTTCTAATACCCTGTATCTCCTAAAGTATGGAAAGTAGATCAAAAATTGTTATATATTATTTGTAGGGATGTAAGGAAAACATTCAAATTAGCTCTATTAAATAATAATAAAATAAAATAATATTTGTAAGGATTCTATTACATCTAAAATGTAATTTATAACAATGTTAGGACAGATGACCTGGTTTTGGTAATTTTAAGAGTTAAGAAAGAAGTGAATTTTCACACATCACAGCTGTCAGCAGAAATGGTAACTGTTTTGCTGAAATCTATAAATTTAAACAACTTATTATTATATTATATTTGCGCTAACACTATTTTCGATTCACGTTTGTTTGAAAACCGATTTAATATCTGTTTTTTAAGCAAGACCTTACTATCGATATCAGATTGATAGGTGTCAAATGCTCGGACTTTGTATTATATTATGTCCTTAAACAATGCCATAAAAAAAATCCATGGTTATATTTGACTTCTTATAATGATAATGACCAAGCGTTTATGCTTTTTTTTCACTTTTTCTAATAATAATTACTTATCCGATATCAAATTTTGCTAGCGATATAATCTTTTCAGATGTCGATATCAAGAAATGGTTATTGACTATTTTTCGATAATTCAATACTGGTAAAGTGGATATAATATTTATATTTGACTCCTCGGACCTTTGCTTACATTAGAAAGAGAAGAGGCGAATATCGTGTTTTGGCCACTTGGCTAACACTTTTAAATAGACCTATAAAATTAAAGGTTATTTTTCTAGATTCAAGAGTTCTTATCTGGATAGTGGATGATATTCACTTCATCTCTTTTTGCCCCACACCATTTAAAAGAGAAGGGGCGAAAATTAGGCTAATACGTTTTGCGATTCTATACGTTTTTTTAGATTTGTGTTTTGTATTTAGGTAGTTAGGAGAAATCGATTATTTAGTTTGAGTTATCGATACCTTCTGATATTGTTAGTCATATCGGTTTTCAGATAAGTTTTGATTAATCGAACTCATGCCTTTGCTAAGTTTGTCCATCCTATTTATCTCTTAAAATATATTTCTTAAATCTCACTAGGATTATTAAAAAAATGTATTTACGGTGGAGTGATGTTCTGTTTTCTGCATACAGGCTGTGGTCGACGATGTGAATGTTTTTTGTGTTTTTGAGATATGGGTTTCACCCATTATGGTTTTCTTATCTTATTTGCCTGTAGAATTTTTGTATTTGCCGGCGACGAACACGTAAATGGATCATGTAATGAAACTAGTGCTGCTCGTGTTGAATATGAATATTATACAGATGTAGTCAGTAGTGAACATATAATAACATTCAAAGGGTACTTTTCGAGAACCACACGAGAAAACTATGTAAAGGCTGCATTAAAACATGTTGGGGTGAGTTGAAAAGATATTTTCAAGATCCTAACTCATGGCTATCTGTAGTTGTTGAGGTTATTTAGTTGATTAGTAAACAAAGAAAAAAATGAAAAACATTTACTGAAATTTCTAAATACTTTTAACAAACTGGATTTTAAAGACCTTTTGTTTATAGCAGTTAATTCCTCAACCCCTTGTACTTAAAATATAGTTTTGGGGGAATATAAATCAAAATATAGAAACTTCCATTAATATATAAACATGTTTTTGGAAATTCATATATTGCATTCATATACTGTTATACTTAGTTTGTTAATATGGGTCAAATCTTGCAAGCTAAAGACCCACTTCCTGCTTTTCTGTGGAACTGAAATCTTGCTAGCTATATTAGTTAACTAAACTAAGTTACTACTATCAACTTTAGGCTTGTTTAATTGTCTATACAAGAGTTATTGGATGGTGTTGATTTGAAAATGGAGCTTGAAGATAGCCATGAGATCACTGTAATTAAATGAAGCATATACCTCAAACCATATGATTTGAGCTCAGTTGATTTGTATTCACAAAAACTTTGGTCCGAGATAATATTCAGACTGATGATGGAGCTTGAAGGTAGCTGTAGTAATTTTATAACTAAGCAATGGAACCCTGTTGGGTATGGGTTCCCTCAAATTCCCAAGATCTCTGATCCAAGATAATATACTAGTTTTTAAAAACAAATTTTATTTTTAAGAATAAATTGTTTCTGAATATAATAAACTATTACTTGGTAATTTTATTTTGCAATAGAAAAACTATAAATGTTGTATGAGTAATTTAAATTGAAGACACCTTCCATCATACCTTAGAGTCCTCTGCCTTATTTTCTAATTCTCAAATATTGAAGATTGTGGCTTTCTCTATCACCTTCTTTTGTATTCTCTCTGTCCATCACTTTGTTACTTTGTCTATGGTATGGAAGGTGCTGTAAATTAAAGAGTTAAGAATGATGCAGGACAGGCCCCCTTATTCTGTATTCTGGCAACATCTAAGGACAACTGAACTAAATTGTTAAGGAGCACTGTGGACAAGCGGTCATCGCATGGTTTTGGTATTTTTCATCTGATTTTTAATAAATCAGTAAGCCCTTGCTAGTTGCTCTATGTTTTTTAAAATTTAGACGGGATCACTCATTGAAGTTCAATGATAGGTTCGTTAATGCTTACAGAAGATGAAATAACAGTTTATTGATACAATATCAAGTGTCTAAATGATGTTCAGTGGAGAGCATCAATATCGATATTTCCAAATTGTGACCATTTATAGAAAATGTGAATTAGTTATTTTGATACATTGGAATTGTTCACATTTTTCAGTGATAACGACATTAGGTAGATTGTCACTTAGTGGAGTAGAGTTAGTGAATAATTAAATTACCATACCAATTACTAATGAAACCATAAATGCCTTAGAGTTAAATTGTAAATTAAAACTATAAAACTAAATATTTTTTAATCTAAAAACATGTATTAATCACACTTATCACATTAAAACATGAGTTATAAGTTTGTGGGAATAATAACACAATTGTTATTGTCTGTTAAATATTTGCGATACATAGAGCTTTAATATCTCGCCCAAAATGGTTAACACCAGGAATCAAAACATGCTGTAAATAGAAAAGAATTTTACTGTGGAAATATAGGTCTAAAAAAACTCAAAAAATAAAGATATTTTCCAACAATATGCAAAGAGGCTTAGAATAATTAAATTAACACAAAAAGCAAAAAACAATTACTTAATTACACCATCTAAAAATAAATCTAAAGCAACTTGGCAAGTTATAAATAACAAGAGAAAACACCTTCCCTGTGACAAAATATCGAAGATAAGAATAGATAATGAAATAATAGGTGATCCTAAAACAATAGTTTCTGCTTTTAATGACTATTTTATTGAAGAAATTAAAGATGATTCTAATAAAAACAAAAATTGGACATGCAACACTATTAAAAATCAATGCAAATCTGTATTTATCAAACCTACAAATCCTAATGATATTTTCAAAATAATAAAAAAACTGAATAATTCAAATAGTGCGGGCTATGATGGTATAATAATAAAAGTAGTAAAAGAAGTGGTAGAAATTATTGCTCCTGTAATTAGATACATAACGAATTTATGTATAGAAAAGGAATATTATCCAATAGGCTTAAAATATCAACAATTAAACCAATTTTCAAAAAGCATAGTGAGGAAGAAATGAATTCTTATAGGCCGATAGCTTTGTTACCCATATTTTTTAAAATATTGGAAAAGGTAATTTATGGAGGTGACTATAATTTTCTTGAATCGCATAATATATTAGCAAACCAACAAATGGGCTTCAGGAAGAGTAAAACTATAAATATGGCGATATTCAATTTTCTACAGAAAGTAACGAAGAGTATAGATGTCAGAGTTCGTGCGACGGCGTTTTTATGGAATCTTATTATCTAAGTTATATCAATATGGAATCCGCGGCAATATACACAAACTAATAGTCATATTTATCTAATCAACGACAAAAACACAACCTAAAAAATCTGTCAAAAGACTAAAACAGAAGTTGTAAATTCGTCTAATATCAGAATATACTTATCCCTTTGGCGTGCCTCAAGGCAGTATACTGGGACCCCTACTATTTTTGATATATATTAACGACATGCCCAATATCACTAATCATGACATGACTTTGTTTGCAGATGATAGTACTCTTCTATTCATAGGCAATAGTGATGTGACTGATTATGAAAATGAAATAAATATGACATTAAAATTAATTATTCAGTGGTTAAATCATAATGATCTTAAAATAAATCTAGAAATAACTCAATTTATGAATTTCCGACAAAGAACTAACCAACTCTTTGACTTAAACATTAACTATGCTGGTACACAAATAAAAGAATCAGATGTCACCAAATTTCTGGGTTTGCATATTGATAAAAGGATGACTTGGAAAACACATACTGAACATGTTTGTATAAAGTTGTCCTAGTATTCTTATGCACTGCACAAACTTAGTAGGATCGCGAATCAGTGCACGGTCCTAACAGCTTATCACGCATACGTAGTTTCTACGGTTCGATACGGCATTATATTTTGGGGATATTCCACCGATTCTGTAACTGCCTTTAGAGCCCAGAAAAAAATGTGTTAGGAGCATATGTCATTTACAGAGTACGGATACCTGTAAGCCATATTTTATTAAACTAAATATGCCATCAATCTATATATTTGAAGTTGATATTTTGTCAAACAGAATCAACAATTATTTGAAAGCAAGACGAGAATACGTCATCGAGACAAATTGTATACGATTCCCTCTAAGACAGCTCTGTTAAACAAAAGTATCTTTTGTATTGCTCCAAAAATTTTTAATAAAATTCCAAAAACAATACGTAATCTGGATGATTGTAATGATTTTAAAAGAAAATTTTGTAAATTATTAGTAACTAAAGCATATTATAGTGTAAACAAGTATCTAGCTGACAGTTTGTAATTGTATAAATACTTCTTCTTCTTATTTTTTAATTAATGGCTTATCTGCGCATTTTGCACAATTCTGCCAATGTCAAGTAAAAGTAAATAAATTAATTTTTACATGTAAAATGAAATGAATGAAAGATGAAAATAGTGTGTCGTATAAATACTTAACACGTGTTATTGATTAGATTAGTTGACAATTACTAACCTACTAATATTGTATGCCTTTTAGACAGATCATGGTATAACTATTCAGTCCTTGTATCTAATATCTTTATATAACCTGTGGTCAACAATAAAGATTGATTTGATTTATTTTCGTAGATCTCAAATTGGACAATATTACAACGAAACAATCCTGCAAAAGAGTATCCTAGTGATTTTGATGTCATTATTTTGAATGATAAACCTGCACGGGCCTTGGAAGCGCTTAGAGACCACCCTGCTGTACGACGAGTTACAGCTCAGAGACAAGTTCAACGTACAATAAAATATGTCCCAGAGGTAAAGTTTATAGTATATATTTACACAGCTTACCGATATTTCATTCCTGATTTATGTTTAAATAAGTAATGTAATAATTTGCATAGGAGAACTGTGGCCCATCAGGGTGCATTTACACAGGGTGGCGGAATCATCGCGCCCGTGACCTGAACTCCCTCCGCCGTCCACATGAGGTACGCATTGGCATTATTCATGTTATAGTTAAAACTTTCAATTCAATAAATAGCTTCTGCTTCGCCTCTTTTGTTCTCAACTTTATACTTTTTTTTTTTATACTCTGCAGAATGGCTACACTTCAAGAAAGCTTCTGCGCACTGTACCACGTCAAATTACATCAGTGTTGAAAGCAGATTTGCTATGGTCTCTTGGTGTCACTGGTGAGTATTTAATTTTAGTAAGTATACATAGCAGTATGATATGTCGAATTTTCGTATTTCTTCTTAGAACTCATCTTGAAGTTAAATCTAGGAAATCGAAAGTTTTGTATAATCTGACATGCTGTTGACTACATTAATAGTAAAAAAATAATTATTGTTATTGGTATGTATACTCAATTTCAATTTTGATTGGTACTTGCAGTAGGTTCATTTGTTTTTCGGCAGGCGCAAAAACGGACGATCATCCAAAGTAATATGTGAGCGTCGATGGAAGTGGAGGGTCTACACAACTTTATTAGATTAGTGTACCATTTACCTGAGGTCATGCCGTTTTTGAACACAGGGAAAATGTATTACGTGCTACATACCCCTGCTCTGGCAAACGGCAGGGGTATGTAGGACTTTTCTCCGCTAATGAACCTACTCATATAAAGTTTTGTTTAATTAATATTTTTGGTTTTAGGCGAAGGTATTAGAGTGGCTGTGTTTGACACTGGACTGGCGCGTAATCATCCTCATTTCGGACGGATACGTGAACGTACCGACTGGACTGGTGAGAATACGTTGGACGACGCCCTGGGGCACGGCACCTTTGTCGCCGGGGTCATCGCGTCCAGGGCAGAATGTCTCGGCTTCGCACCAGATGCAGACCTGCACATATTTCGTATTTTCACTGACAATCAGGTCAGTTCTATGAGTTATAACGGTGAATAAGCGTGCTTTTCTGTATCAAAATTAGTTGGGGCCCATTAGAAAGGTAAAAAATTTACACTCATTAGGGGCCTCTGTAGCCCGGAGACCCCGTATCATTGATATTGCTGATACGACGGCACCAAATACCCACTTAGTTATGTATTATTTGGATTATAAAAATTGCCAAACCAAATGGCTAAAAGTGGATATAATATTATTAAAGTTTGGTTCTCTTTTGAATACATACTTATATATGGGATACCTACATTTTACAATGCTACAAAGAAGAATTAATATACGAGCTTTTTTCCCGCAACTTTGCTTGCGTAAATTATACACGCATATGATGTAGCTTCAGTATATGAAAGAATTTTTAAAATCGCTACTGTAGTTACGGAGCCTATTCTGAGTAAACAAACAAATAATCAAAATTTTCCTCTTTATAATTATAGTTATTCCTCCATAGTTTAGGATCGATAATTGTCAAATGGACCTTCTTGTTGTTAAATACATAGTTTGATCACCACAAAAGTGATATCAATTAATACAAAAGTACTTAGATAATTTTATTTGTGATAAATTTTAGTTGTAACTAAAATCTTGGAAACTTAATATTAATTTTTTTGGATAATTTGTTGTCATGTTATATATTACCTTTGGATACAATGAAAATATTGAATAAATATTACGTATTTTGTTATTTACTAAAGGAAAACCTAGACGGGTTTAATGTGGTCTTTAGATTCATTGTCTTCTAGAGATGTTATCTTAGAGACATGTCTTAGATTTTCAATGTTATGGACATTGTATAAATGATGACCGAGTTTGCTCGTAACCCCAGTTGCAAGGTTCCGTCATCTCGATATAAAATGAATTTTTCTATATTATCTCGAGTTCTTTGAAACAAACACAACGCTTTGCTTGTGTTAACTACGTTGTTTCAGATTTCTATCATAAAAGTTCTTTAGCTTTGTCTTCTAATTTTTATTAATTTTGGGTGTTTGTTATAGGTTTCATATACGTCTTGGTTTTTGGATGCGTTTAACTATGCTATAATGCGGAAGATTGATGTTTTAAACTTGAGTATTGGTGGTCCTGACTTCATGGACCATCCGTTTGTCGACAAGGTCTGGGAATTGAGCGCAAATAAGGTACAAATAATTATACATTTTTCATTGTTTTCTGAATGAAATTATTCTTCACTTCAGACCGTGATTCCGTCACTTTTTTTTAAGTAATAAAATATCTACCATTGTATGAATTTAAATACAATGGAACATATTTTATAACATAATCTGATTCTGAGTAAATACTCAGAATCAGATTTTACAGTATGTATTGTGACTGGACCAGTTTTGTGACTTGTATTCATAGCTTTATTATTACCTTACCATCGAATCTCAGTCTCAGTTTTAGAATTCAAACAGTATATGTTCAATTTTATAATTAAAAAAAATGCGCATTATATTACTTTATAATTTATGCTGTTCTTGATAAGCTTTTGTACTGTAATTAAATTTTATTGTTGTTGCTTTGCGAACGTTAATAAAAGAAATCTATGAAATGAAATGCGAATACGTGCGAAATATGTAAATATAATTGGTGTACATGCTGCTAAGAAGTTGTCTTATAAAGATATTATATTATGTGAATTTAATTTACTCAGAATCAGATTTTACAGTATGTATTGTGATTGGACCAGTTTTTTTACTTGTATTCATTGAATTATTATTACTTTACATAAGGTCTTTGAATTATCTAAGGCACTTCTTGAATCTGAATGCCATCGTATCTCTGTCTCAGTTTAATAGTTAAAACAATATAGTTAAATCATATAATTAAAAAATAAATGCAGACAATATTATTTTATATTTTGAATGATATTTATTCTGAGAAATTTAAATTTATTTTCGGAATAAATAGTTTTGAAGTAATAAACAACAAACAAACGAACATTTATTATTGCCCCTCCTAATCTCCGAAACTAATGAGCATAAAATGTCGAAAGTAATGCAGAAAACAGTAATTAGATTACAGGAAAACCTATGATTTTATGCTTAGCACTCTCGCTAACCCTCTGCTCTTGGAAGGTCTTTATAAATCTGCGAGATTATTTCTTTTGCTGACTATAAGGATGATGACTAATTATTCAAGCCATCTTATTAAATTGAAGCAAAAAGTCTCCAATATTTTTCTATTATGTGACTGCCTGACTAAATAGTTTTTATTTACCCAGACATTATCCCTGTTTTCAGAAGTTGATTAATTTGAAAATAAGGAATGAATTAAGAGCTTTTCTTTGCATAGCTAACAAGTGCTGCTTTGTAAAGATTTTTTTTTATTTATATCTCCATTTTTTATTACTTTTTGTTATCTGTGTTATTATGTTATCTGTCTGTATTGTTATACAGCATACCAAGAAAAGTTATTCAAATGGTAAATTCATAAAGATTAAATAATATATTTTATTTTGATTATTGTATTCGAAATCAATTTTCCTATTTAATGAAGTAATATTTTAAAATATTATAATATACTAAAGCACTCGTATTATGGAATTTTGAGACAATGAAAGTACCACATCCATTATCTATGTTAACTAGCTTAGGTTTCGAAGCTGAAATCTCGAAAATGACGACGCTTTGGAATCTGCGTATGAGCCACTCATTGACTAAGGTCGTCTGTAACAATTGTACTTCTCTGTATGAAATAATACAACGTTAAAAAGCTTGTAAAAAGCAGCTCTCGCCCTTTTGTATAACGTACAAGATCGACCGTTGTAGGCTTACTTGTCAATTTGGGTTGCTAATGGTCGGGATTCGTCTGGATTGTCTAGATATTTCGTATGATATCCAAAGTCTCGAAAAAAAAACAAATAAGTCAAAACAGTAGATACTCTTGTTATTGTTTTAAAATACAATTAATAAATGGTGGATTTTTTATATCCCAAGTAGCACAAAAGTGCTTTAGAAGAGCATTTTAACAGTGCACCGTGAAACCATTAGCTGCATAAACTTGCTGTACAACAGAGTTAGCAGCGCCTCTTCAGCTGATATAACTCTAATTTAGGCACAAATTATTCAGCACATAGCTGTATAAGAAATCCAATTATCAAATAATTGAATTATATCAACATCATATTAGCATTTATGTGTGTTATGTGTGTAACAGTCAGACGAATGTGTACATTATAAATGCTTTTACGCGTTTGAAAGTACACTCTGAGCGAAATTGTGAAATGCAATAACCTTATTATTTATTTTTCTCTAACACGAACTGTCAATTTGTTTGTGCTGTGTACAAAATTGATATTTGTGGAAAATAAATATAACTTTGATTTCTTCGAAAAATATCTGAAATCTTATTGGGAAGGCAACTTTACTGTGAAATACCATACATATGTAGTTCAATATTTTCACGCGCTCTCAAAATACGACTAAATACTAAATAAAATCTAACTTAAATGGATAGTAAACAAAATAAATGTTATGGTTTTTTTTACAAAAAAATATAAAGAAAAACTGGCTACGTGAGAATTATTAGTAAACCAAACCAATTCCAATCGCAATCTTCTAAAATAAACCAAAATAAAAAGATAATATTTTACGAAAATTCACAGTAAAGTAGCGAAAATGGCCGATAGCAAGTGAACAGTTTTAATATCAATACAATGCTAAGGTCTGTACGGATGTTCTCTTGTGGCCTATAATTCAGCAATCAGTAAGTTAGTTAAGAACTTATGAGAAACAAATCAGCCATGGATAGATTTGAAGAGTTGGTTCACATTTTGCAATAGTTAACCAGAAAACCGTCTTTATCTACCAGTTCTTTTTTTCGCTTTCCACATTTCGTAAAACAACAAAACACATTAAGAATCTGTCAAAATAGCTTGGTGTAGAAATACAAATTTCATGGCTACATATAATTCAATGAGCAGACTAAATGCCTACACAAGTCCAATTATTCAGTCCAAGACAGAATGGCTGCCAGGTTTGCTGCTATGTAACTGCTTAAAAGTCCACTTTAAGGTCTGACTTGGCCTACATAAAAGCTGTTATACGAGTTTATAGTAACACCTGACTAATAGGGTTAAAGTTTATCTGTATGCAGCATGAAGCATTAACTCATTAGTATATAACTTCACGAAGTAACTGCTGACTGAATAGTAGTTCACATGTTCTCTCTTTTAATGTAACCTTTTAAAAGTAGACGTGTGGGATTTTATTCAGAAAACTGCATTATTTGTGTTCATAAACATACGCTTTTGCAGCTGATAGAGTTACTGTATTACTTAACGCTGAATAATAGTGATATCTGTGGTGTGTCTGTGATGTTTAATAGATTTATAGTACAGGAGAAAGCGTTAGAGAGAACCACGTTTTATTCTAAACAGCTGTTGTAGCCCGGGTGAACTCTACTAAGACTGTATAAGTTCGTATATTAACGTTGAGGGCCTAATGTGAACATTTATAATGCAGTTCTGTGCTACTTGGGATGGATTCATTTATTCCGACTGTGACCCCAAAATTCCAACCTTTTCAAATTTTGCGCAGATATTTTAGTCTCCCCATCTGGCAACCCTAGAGCTAATGGTGTAGTGTTTTGACTTTCACAAGTAATTGTTCATCTGCGAATCATACAAGTACAGATACGTGTATTTACGTTCCTCGATAAAACAAGCCCAGCTTAAAAATATCTGTAAAATAGCTCTTTCTGTTTTGTTTTTACAGGTAATTATTGTATCCGCCATCGGCAATGATGGACCTCTTTATGGTACCCTCAACAATCCGGCTGATCAAATGGATGTCATTGGAGTCGGGGGTATCGGATTTGATGACCGTATTGCCAAGTTTTCGTCAAGGGGAATGACAACATGGGAGTTGCCAAGTGTAAATATTCTTCTTTTTTAACTGTACTACCGCTAATTTGATCTCAATATCAAATACAAGAAGTTAATTATCATCATCAACACCAGCCTACTAATGTGCCCAATGGGACACGGGCCTTCCCAATTTATGAAATGGAATAGAGAAAATGGCAATAATCCACCATTTGGACCAAATGTGGATAGGTGGATGTTAACAAATGCAGATGCCTGCCTGCCATCTTGCTGCTTAACGTGCATTCCGAAGTAGGGAGGAACTCCATATAATAAATTTTTGGTCACCCATTCTATGACCGGCCTTTGCGACAGTTTTTTAACTTCCGCGTCGCAGACCGCACGCCATCGAGCTCCACAAGTAAACTGTATTTAGGTTTAAATATTATTTGTATTCCTACAGGGTTATGGGCGTATGAAGCCAGACATTGTTACTTATGGTAGCGGTGTGAGAGGATCGAGTGTTACAGGAGGATGCAGATCGCTCAGCGGTAATTATATTACTAATTACATTAACACTACTAAATTTTACTTTATAAAAACAAACAAAAAATGTCATTGTATGTAATTGTAGCTTGTCCCTATTTATTGTCTATATAGTGTGTAGTCCCATACTCAAATGTTTGTGCACTATCAAATATTGGCTTGTGGGTTGTTTGTATATACATTTGAATTAACAAAAAATATTTGGACTTTTAAATTATTTCATTTCATACAGGTCGGACCTGTCCCTATTATTTACAGCCACGGTGGGCAACAGTCGGCCCGCGAGACAATTTGTTAAAATCTAATTTACGAGGGGTGTTCAAAAAGTAGTGAGAATGACGTAGTAATGGAGAGTACTTGAAAAAAAAAATATCGTCTCGGAAAGATTAGGTCTTTGTTATAATACCCTCAAATAATTAGGTTTCTATGTTGTCTGTGTCAGTTGTATTTATTATTTGTTTGTGACGCGTCGTTAACTCTCGCAAAAATGGATAAAATTCAAAAATGCGTGCAGTAATAAAATACTTTTGCTTGAAAATTTTTACTACGGAACAAATTTTTAAAGAGTTATGTGAGACATTGTGGGAGTCTGCTCCTCCACATTCCACAGTGGCTCGGTGATGTTCAGAGTTGAAACGTGGAAGAACAACGGTTAAAGATGACCAGCGCTCGGGCCGCTTTTCAACGTCACTCGGGAAATGGTCGAGAAAGTTGAAAAAATTATTCTGGATGATCGCCGTGTAACTGTCCGTTTTATAGCTGAAGAGTTAAAGATTTCAAGTGGTAGTGTGCATAGCATTTTGCAAGATCACTTAGGGATGAAAACGGTATCCGCGCGTTGGGTCCCGAGAATGCTAACGGACGCACAAAAGCAAACGCGACTCAACATTTCAAAGAGTTCATTGGAACTGTTTCAACGAGATTCTTTTTTTTTTGGCTCGATTCGTAACAATGGATAAAACATGGCTTCATCATTATGATCCAGAAACGAAAAAACAATCAATGTCCTGGAAAAGACCGACACCAAATCTCCCACACCAAAGAAATACAAAAATCAACCATCCGCTCATGGGTTCAGTTTTTTGGAACAGCCAGGGGTTGATAATGCTTGAATACTTTGGAACATGAAGCCACTATCACAGGAAAGGTCTATGCAGAACAAATAAAAAAATTACGTCAGGAAATCCTTAAAAACCGACGACGAAAAGTCACGAAAAAGTTTTGTTCCATCAAGACAACGCGCCGGCCCACAAGTCTGTAGTTGCCATGGCAGCAATCCAAGATGCAGGCTTTGAGATCTCGATCATCCGCCATATTCATCGGACTTAGCCCCTAGTAATTTCCACTTATTTCCGCATTTGAAAGAACACTTGAGAAGCACAAAATTTGAAGATAACGTAGAAGTGAAGGCCGCCGTAAACGATTTTTTAAGTACTTAAGATGAATATTTTTTAAAAGGAACCGTTATAGGAAAACTTTGTTGTCCGTCCATCCGTCTGTCAAGACCCTTTTTCACAGGAACGCGTAGAGGTATCAAATTGAAGTTTATATCAAATTCTCTGGTCTACCGTCCCTTGGAGCTGCGAAAAAATCGAACTTCTAAGCCAACGCAATCAAAATATATAAGAAAAAAACGGCTGTTATGCCAAAATTTTTCGAAACTCGCAAGAGATTCAAAGTCTACAGGGTACTTACTTACCATGACCTCAGGAAATTGAAATTTGGTTCGAAGAAACATCTCTTATAGCACAGATAAAAGGAAAAATTGCGAAAACCGTAAATATTTAGTTACATCATATAATATAAATATTTTTAATAAATACTAAAGTTTTTGTATGGAACCCTCGGTGTGCGAGTCCGATTCGTACTTGGCGGGTTTTTTTTTTCGCTAGTAAACTAGACTGAACTAGTGTGATCTTCAAATGTTCATTGTAGGCACATCCGTGGCTTCACCGGTTGTAGCTGGGGCCATTGCACTGCTCGCTAGTGGCGTACCACGCCAGCACTTGACACCCGCCGCGGTTAAACAGGCGTTATGTATAACAGCGCGTCGGCTTGCCGGACCGAATATGTTTGAACAGGGTCACGGCAAATTGGACCTTATCAGCGCATATCAGGTTTGTATTTAGCATGGCCACTTGATGTTTTTTTAAGCTATGACTATAAAATATTTTAGATTACTATGACTATAAATGTTATTTGTTTTCGTATTTGTTTATAATTATAATTTTTCCAACTATTTAATATCTTTTTGACATTTCTAGTACTGATCAAATAGTGATGTACTAATGCATTACCAATTCGATTTATCTTAGTAATCGATTTTATTTATGAAGAAGTTTTAATTGATATTTTAATTAAGTATGCGTAACATGACGTGTTTTTTTCTAAAAAACAAACTGGTATTTTTTTTTTAGAAAACACCACGTAAATTAAAGTCACACACATGCTTTCATCTATAGGTACATGGAATAAAACAAGTTAATTATTTTAATATTATTTTATTACATTAAATCGTCCGATTCTTTTTCATATCAACTAGAATCATCACTGACGTTAATGACGAATTGTTTAGTACAAAAATGATCGAATGCAATATCACGATCCCAATCCGAAAATTGTTCTCTTTTCGTTTTTTCAACGATGCTTTCCCAGTTTACAGGCGTCACATTAGCACACGCATGTTTTAACAAATCTAACATTTTGTTTGCAGTGAAAGGAGCAGTAGAAAGTATTATTTCTAGCGACATGTCCTTTTATTTGTGCCCAAATGAGCTCAATTGACAGTGGTATGGGGGAATTCTTAGTACGATATGCCCATGTTCTGCCATTTCCTCGATAACATATCGTTTCGGCCGTCTTTTGATTTTAATATTTCCATAAATTCTTTATTTATTAGAGAGTCGTCCACATCCTCCTCATTGTCACGAAGCCAGTTTATGATCTCGTGTTTTCTGTTGGCCTGCGTTGGCATTTTATTAATTTGACGAGAGCGGTAAGATGCGTTGTCAATAAATATTATCGACGGTTCTGTGAGAGATAAAAGCATCTCTTGGAACCACTTTTCATACACGTCCGCATTCATCTCCTCATGATAGTCCCCTGTTTTTTGGACTTAAAAGCTAACAAAGCATCTGGCACAAATCCTCTTGTTGTTCCCGCATGGCAAATAATGAGGCGTTCACCTTTCCCCATTGGCACTTCGGACTTGGAGGCAGCAGTGTCGTCTGTCCAACTTCTTGCCAGCGAATGATTCGTATTGAGCCAAGTTTCGTCTGTGAATAAAACATTTGATCAACCTTCTATTTTCTTTGCTTCTCTTAAAAAATCGCATCGAGCCAAAGCCAAGGCATTCCATTAAAATTGTTTCTTTTATTACATTTTTTTAAATGAAAACCAATTCGATTCAACACCTTCGTCAATGAAGATTTTTGATCGTGGAACAAACCACTACCTCATAGACCTTACTTTATTGGAATTATAAGTTACCTTATTATAGGTTATTAGTTAGTACCTTATTGGAATTATGACTTTCTTTTTCGAAATAGTCACGAACCCGCAACACAAACTCTCGATTTTCCTTTAAGCACTTTACCTTTCGGCATCTTGCAAGTATAAAGCTTACGAGGCACGTAAGTATCCACAATTTAATATGGAGGAATATAAATACACTCAACTCGACGTTAGAAAAATGCTAATGTAAACTCAGCGAACGGATACGTAGTGATAGCATGGGAGTCTCGTTGCGAGTTACAAAAGAATGGCGTCGCAGACTATTTTTTTTTTGTATAAAGGTATTATGACTCTGGCTATTTGGACTTTTGAGCATGTCTTATTTCATTTCCCACCTCTTTTGCTAAGCCTTTCTTCAAATTTAATATCACTTCTACTTAGTCTTATTTTTTCTAAACGATTTCTTTCGATTAATCAATTTGCAGCGAATACATTCGATTCTACCACTAATTGCCATAGGACGTAACTGTTTTTTAAGCAAATAAAAAACGATACAATTAAGGGATTTTAAAGTGTGTATTGGGGAATAAGTAAGGTAGATACATATAATTAAAATACTTCTTATATTTTTAATATCACGAATTGTAAAGTTTATTTTTATGAATCACTGAACAGTTACGTCCTAGAATAACTGTCAAAAATATGTTAAATGGTCGAAAATATTATAAATAACGTTATCATTTTGTATATTGATTTAATTTTCAGGAGTAAGAAAAAAGAACTATAATATGATTAACTTAATTTACATAATATTTAGTTATGTACTATGAACTAAAAGGATACTGTATCTTTACAATACTGAATATTGTATCATTAGCACTAAAACTGTCCAGTGCAAATTAAATTCGTATTGAATACATACGCACAGCAGCTGTTACCTCCGTTAAGGGAATTAATGCTCGGTACATATCTGACGAAAGATGGATGCTTCGAGTGTATCCCGGAAGTATGCATTAGCACGCGTATACGAATGGTCACGCATTTGCTAATTCTGACGTCACGCGTTTGTGTTCGATACGAATTCGATAGGCATTCGATGATTTTTCGTGTTAGGGTTATAATGATTTTGTATTGGTACAGTTTTTGAGGGAATACGAACCTCAAGCTAGTCTGAGTCCGCCTTACATCGACCTGACAGAGTGCCAGTATATGTGGCCGTATTGTACGCAGCCGTTGTATTACAGCGCGCAGCCTACCATCGCGAATGTTACCGTTATCAACGGACTAGGTGTTTCTGGACAAGTGGTGAGCCTTATTGTGTTTTAAATAAAGATGATTTTTTTTTTCAAATAATTAATTTGTAAATCAAAGTAGATATTGTTCTATAAATTAAATAATTCGTTCAATATGCAAATTAAAACTACTATTTCCCTTTTTTTATCAATAATGGTCCTCACTCCTTTTTGAAATTCGAAAATCTAACATTACATGCCGTAATATATAATAAATAACTCTTTGTGTATATTGATTATTATGTATAAATAACATGATATGTATTGATAGCGATTATCGTGTTTGTAATACAGAAAGAAGTGGTATGGCATCCTCATTTACCGAACGGTGTACTTCTCGCTGTGTCTGTGGAATACAGCGAATATCTTTGGCCTTGGTCTGGATGGTTAGCTCTAAGTTTCAAAGTTCTGGAAAAGGGTGCTGATTTCGACGGTGTAGTCGAGGTATGTTTTGAATATGTATATATTTGAATAATGTGTCAGGTTAATCGATATTTCACTAAATCAGTATTTTTTTACGCTAGGGACATGTAAATGTAACCATTGAGAGTCATGGAGAAATAGGAGAAAAAAACATGCGTAATACCACTTTGATGTTGCCGATACGGTAAGTAATAATTGTACCTAAATATAATACCGTTTCGTGTAACAGTCAATGAATGAGCAGTTTTAGGATTTTAAAATAAATTCAAAATTATTAAGTTAATTTTTGTTATTATTAATTTTTCACTTTGTATAAAATATATGGGTATTTGTAGACAAAGTGTATATAACACTGAAGTTGTTGCTTAGTTTAATGAAATGTGACGTCTCATTGTCGCTAACGTTACGATTCTTGTAATTCGCAGATTATAAATCGTAAGTTGATTTTGCAACATTAAAATATGTTTACAATATTTTAAAATAAAAAATACTAATAACATAGTTATTACTTATATATAAAATGTCATTTGAAACATGTATAATAATAATTCAACAATATATATAATAAAAAATTAAACGCCGCGGCCCACGATAGCTCCTGTTCACGGGATCGGATCGGTCACGGGAAGGATGACAAAAAAAAAATATTATCCGTACTTCAGAAGGCACGTCAAGCCGTTGGTCCTGGCTGCATTTGCAGTCAATATCCTCCAATCCGCATTAGGCCAGCGTGTAAAGGTCATAGACTATCCTCCTTATCCATCCATAAGGAAGTCCTGAGGTCCCTGTAGTGGGTGTGTAAATGGGTTGATGATGATAATAATTCTTTGTTATAGTTGTTAAGTAGACAATTAATATTTAAATGTACTGGACAGTGCACGCATTATACCGGTACCAGTTCGTTCGCGGCGACTGTTGTGGGATCAGTTCCACAGCCTCCGCTACCCGGGCGGGTACTTCCCCCGTGACGACTTGCGCGCCAAACACGACCCGTTGGACTGGCACGCCGATCACGTGCACACTAACTTCCGCGATATGTATCGCCGTTTGCGTGAGCACGGCTTCTATCTGGAGGTTATGGGTGAGTTGAGTTGAGAAATCAACATCTTTTACAGTTAAAAAGAAGTATATACCGCTTGTTACAAAAATCCGGTATCCCTAAAACGGCATGGAGTATACATAAAACTGAAATAATTTATTATATCTTTAATATAGTATTTATTGAAAAAAACAATATCAAAGTCGTGCATTTTTTTTAAGTACATTTTTTTTCCAAAAGTACAAAAGAATTAAATGGATGGCGCCCTTCAATTTAAGGGCATGCCGCCCAATTGGACGGCTGGCAAAAAATCTTGGCTGCGACATATACACCTCAGTTTGCCACGAAATTTAATCAGCCAAATTACCATAGATATGGAAACGTGCAATACTACAAAATAAGTATGCAATAATTTGACCGTTACTCTGTAAACGGATGGAGAGCAATAATATGTATCCATAGGTACATTAACTTTTAGACAACTACATGATAATTAAAAATAATCAAAAGGCCTAACTAATTATCAAGATTTACAATGTTAGTGTTAACGCGTTTGATCTGTGATTGCGGAGGTTAAGCAACAGTCACAAAGGCTTTTTTAAAAAAATAGACTTATGAAATAATTTTATATGCTTAACTCGGTAATAAATATAAATATTATCGGTAAAATTCATTCAGTGTACAAAATGACGTAAGAGAGAGAGAGAGAGAGAGAGTGTGAAAGAAAAGAAACAACATCATTGTAATAGCGGGAGTGGCGAGACAACCGACGCGTTAGTGTGCATTAGGTATAGGTAGACGAGGTAGTCAACATTTGGTACGGATTTTAATTTATTGACTGTTTAATGTACTACGGATTAATCAATTGTAAAAAAAAACTGCGTTTAAAGATGGAGTGGAATCACTCTCTAAAATTAAATAAGTGGCTCTAGTACTAAAATTTCGTTGACCGTCCATCGGAATGTCAAAAATTTTCTCAGATTTCTGTTGCAATTATAATAACAAATCAAATCAAATCAAATAAATATTTAATAGGACTCCCATACAACACACTTGGTTTTTTTGCTCATTTCCGGTACGAAATCCTTCGTGTGCGAGTCCGTCTAGCATTTGGCCGATTTTTTACAGTATATGAACGTTAGCGGTTCGTTCAGTATAGACGAAACTACCTTTAATTGTTAGTACTCCCAGAAAATAAAACCATCTTATCATTTTTCCAAAAATTACACTGAAAATGAAATTACAACAAAGTCCTGCAACCCGACGTCATTTCAAAATGTACATTATAAAAATGTGCTAGCCGACTAGAAGCTTAGGACTTAATTTTTAACACTGCCGCCGGCGTATGGTTGCCATCTATTTGCCTTTAGCGGTTAAAAACAAACGAGAAATCGTGTCAATAAAATAGATAAGAGACATAAGATGGCGTATTATGCATTAAAAAGAGGACGGATATTATATACTTCATTCAACACCCTTCAGCTGTAACAGGTATTTTTGTAACACGGCATATGTATGTTGTTTTAAATTTTCTTAGTCATTTACATTAGAATAATTACTCTAATATGGGACTCGAATCCACGACTTTTCGCAATGCGGGCGACTATTCTAACCACTAAGTTACCCAAGGACTTTACAGTATTGACGAATTCTTCAAGCACCTTTGGTAGTGTTGGTAGCGCCAGGTATAAGTTATCGAGTGTCTGGAATCCAGTGGTTCGTGTTTGTAAAAAACAAAAAATCTTAACAGAGTCGTTTCGCGATCAGATACAGTGAGTGTTGTTTGTCGGGAACAGGTCCGAGTTAGTGATGACTTACTGAACAGTGGTACGGGTATAGACCATAAGAAAATCGAAAGAAAGTAGATAGATATATCTGTCAATAAAATTCACTCACAAGACTTCAGTTACTCTACGATCATGGAGTTTGCAACAGTGCCGAAATAATTAGGACTCGATAAATATTAGGTACTTGGATGATGACTGGGCTAAAAAAGGAAGTTCAATTTAGTCCGTCAATCAGATAATAGAAAATATTAAACACGTATTTTTTTGCTTCAATTCAACGAGAAATAGCTTAGATAAAACGCGCTAAAGTTGAGGGATGGGGGCTCGCTAAGTCACAAATTTGTAGAAAATGTACAAAAGCGTGACGTCATGCGACATCGCCATATTCAATTCAATGTATCGCCATAGTTTATTGATTACGCAAAAAATACGTGTTTTACATTTTCCAATAATCTACCTGACGGACAAACAAACTAACTAGTATTCATCCCTATTATTCTAATGTTTTTATGTTCATACTCATTAAATTAATTAAAAATATTCCGATATCTGAAGGTTATGGCGATTAGTCTAGGTATACTGTATAGGCAGTATGTGTCTCTTAAGAAAGTATATGAAATACTTGTTATAAGGTACTCCTCTAACGTGCGTGGATACATCGTTGTATGGTGCCCTGCTACTAGTGGATCCCGAGGACGAGTATTTTCCGGAAGAGATGGCCGCCCTCAAGAAAGCCGTGGACTCTGGTTTATCGCTAGTCGTCTTCGCCGATTGGTACAATGCTTCGTTGCTACGACATGTAAAATTCTACGATGAAAACACTAGACAATGGTTAGTTACACCCCATTCGAAGTTTTCTTTCTTATTTTTACCACAGATACACATAAAATATACAGATGCCTCATCCTATAGAACAAATGTGACAGCCCTGACGCGGGCTATTCTCGGACTATTTTATCTTACTAGAGTCGGCGCTAGATGTCGCAAGTGAGCCAGCAACACTTCAAATTGGATTTGGCTATTCTATGGATATTCGCATAAGCGTCAATAGATGTCGTTGATTATTAGCACACCATAAAAGAACGTTAATGTAGATATACATTAAATATACCCTACCATAACTCTTTTATTTTTGTTTTAAATTATCAATCAATAAAAAATTAAACACAAAGAAAAATGTTTTAAATAAAATAATAATAAAAACGTAGCCTTTTACAACGCCATCTCTACATAGACATTTAATTATATAAAGCATACTTTTGCTCTAAAATTGTGAATACTTGTAATTTTACGAATACTAGATTAAATAACTCTTTATATCATTTTTCCGAGCTTAGGATTTTTTTCCCTTTAAGAAATTATACTGGTTATTATATATCGTGGATTTTTCACAAACGTAAAATATTGAATGATACATGTAACGCTACCTATTGTGGTTTTTTAGAACAAATATATCTTATTTATACACATTTTTTTTTTCCCCTACCACTCGTTCAGGATGTCTTTTAGCTAACAAGAAGAACAAGCGAAAGAAACTTACCAGCTCTTAATCATAAGTAATGACATTTACATAAATCATTTCATTACCTTAATAGAACGTATTATAACAATAATACATACAATTTTCAAAGTCTGTAGGACATAGGTTGGTACATACAATTAATCGTTATAAAATAAAGTGAAGGCTATTAATTCCATGCATTGCCAACTCAACTTTTCACTATTCACATTTATAAATGTACTAACATCCCTCACATTAGGTAATGCAAACTTTATGCATTTCGTTTTATTAGAATTGAGCTTTAAATTATAGTTATCAAACCGTTTTTTAAATTTATATCGTCAAAACAATCATTACCCTTCTTAACTTTAAACACTGAAGAGGTGTCATCTGCAAATAATACTGTTTCGCACAAATTCTTCGTAAAGTAAAGAAGATCATTAATGTAAATTAGAAAAAGGAATAGAACCATTGCTTTTTCGTATTTACATATATTGCCATACCGATCTCTGAGGTACGCCCATAGTAATGCGCGCCCCTGCAGATTTCGCTTCATTAATTTCTACTTTTTGAATTCTAGCAGTAAGATATGATTTTATTAGATTAAGTGAATTTTTCGACACACCAATTTGCTTTTTTTTCCCCAACAGTGTTTCATGACTAACATAGTCGAATGCTTTTGACAGACCGCAAAAAATGCCGATAGCATCTTGTTTACTCACCCAAGCGTCAAAGATATGTCTTAAAAGTGCAATTCCAGTGTCTGTGGTACATTTACCTCTGCTAAAACCAAACTGATTTTAATGAAGTAATTTATTTAACGAAAAGTGTGCAAGCAGTTGATTGTAAATAATTTTCTCAAATTCTTTACTTAGCGCTGGTAGTATAGAAATTGGTCTGAAATTACTGGGATCAGACTTGTCGCCTGCCTTGAAAAGTGGGATTATTTTACCATGTCTCATTAAATGAGGAAAAGTTCAAGTTCGCAAAAGATGATATTATAGATTTGTTAACATAAGTTGAAACATCCCAAAGATCTTCGGTCCTTAGAATATTATTAACTTGTATTATTTAATTTTATATTTATTGTGCAAAATACAAAATTGACAAGCACCGGAACCAGTTCCCAATTGTAGTTATAATCTTTAAAAAAGCTCTTTAAAATGTTTAGGTGGATTCCAGAAACAGGTGGTGCAAATGTTCCTGCTCTGAATGACTTGCTAAGCATGTATCAGGTTAGTATGTTACCCTAAATTTAGCCCTGTTTCGGCAACATAATAGTGATGACGACAAATTTTTTGCTTAATTAATAAATTTTGGCGATACATTGAGTTGAAATGTCGCATGACGTCAAGCTTTTGTACATTTTTCACAAAACGGGGACGTAGTGAACCCCCCCACTTCTCAACTTTAATGCCTATTGACTAAGCCATTTCTTGTTTAAATTATAACAAAAAAATACTGACTAATATTTTTCTATTATCTGACTGACGGAGAAAATAGTTTTTTTTTTACCCAGTCGTCATCCCTATTGCTAATTTATTTCAGATTTTATACTTATGGTAAGAAAAATTTCGTTTCATTTTATTGCTTTGACATGTACTGTATTAACGACGAATGAATGATAGAGAATGATGATTATGGATTTGACAGCAGCTTTAACAAATTACTAATTTATCCCAAATTTAACCACCAAAAAACATGTCTTAGAAAAAATTTAGATGAAACGAAATTCCGTCATAACGTGGATAAAATTACTGCAATCATGTACTTGATCCAACTAATGGTATTGGATTTTAAGGTGGCGTTAGGAGACCGCGTGTTTGAAGGTTCATTCAAACTTGGAGGACACCCTATGTACTATGCGAGTGGCACTCATATACACAGCTTCCCGGAACATGGCGTCCTTATTACAGCACAGCTCAGCGATCAGGGACATCAGGTATAATACATAGTTAAAAAGATATAGCTGCATAAGGGTATTACCAAAAAGTGTATGTTTATTGTTTGGTCTTTTTGACTCGAACTGAAAGTCACGTGAGAATGGCGTAAATAAATATATGTGGTACTAAATAACTGTTATATTTTTCTTATTAGTTGGTTGCGGTGTAAATTTCTAGAAACCTACATCGACAATGAATTTAAATTACACTTTAAAAATCTATTCTGTTAATATTTATGTTTGTAAAATGCTGTCTAAATGGATCTTAATGTTAATTATCTGAAATTTACTTTTTTTACAATCTATCAAATATACTCCTTTAAGTTAGGTTATATTTATAATTTAACTAAATACATACATACTCCGTATAGCGAAATAAACTCAGCAAGAAAAGTAGATAAATACTTTTTTATATGTTGTAATATTTAAATGCACCAAGCTAAATATGGAAACCTTGTATAGATAATGACTGGTGAAAAGCCAAATACTGGCGGTGGGGCGTCGAATCCCGGGCCGACTGTCGACGTCCCTATATTAGGCCTATTGCAAACTGACGGAGAGACAAGGGATTACACCAACGATACACTCGACAAATTGCCAAAGGTTAGTACAGACGTATCTCGACTTTGTTGGAAATATTAGCGTATAGTCAGTATAATATATAACAAATTAAAATTTAAATGTATTTTTTAGGTTTATTTTAATAATTAAATGTCAACTAAACATTAAACTAAAGATTAAAAATTAGTTTGTTTGTAGTTAATCTGATTTCAAAAAGGGTAGAAAGTCGTTTTTGTATTTACTTCTGTTTAAACGACGCATTATTTTCTGTATCATATGTGCCTGTTGTCTATTTATTGTTTATGGTTCTATTACGGGACGTGTGGTGCGTCTAGGGATCCTGCAGGCTCATTTCATTGGTCCATACATCAATGAATGATCAAAGAGAGTCCTTTTCTGAATGTTTAAAATGTTCTTATTAAATAAAAATAATACAAATGGCGGACTTAATGCCAAGGGCATTCTCTACCAGTCAACCTGAGCGAATGTTGGATTTGCATGTTAGGCGATAAAGATTGATATATCCAGTAAAAAAAAAATACAAATTAAAAAATATATAAATAAAAATATTGAATAATTACATAAATACTAATTACACATACATACACATAAATAACATACAGAATGCGAACGATACAATTACAGTCCGAGATAGTGCTCACGCACCAATTTCCTGAATATCACCTTACTCTGAGCATTTCTAATGCGAAACGGAAGAGCATTCCAAAGGCGAATAGCTGTGAGGGTAAAGGAATTAGAAATAAATGAAGTATGATGAAAGGGGGTTTGAAGAATGAGGTTGCTACTAGAGCGAAGATTACGCTCATGACCGGAACCAAGATAACGAAACCTAGATTTCAAATATCCTGGGGTACATGGATCGAATAAAATATTATAAAGCATACACAGAATTCGTAGGTCTCTGCGTTGAAAGATAGTCAGCCAACCGAGTTGCCTCCTGAAATCAGAGATATGGTCGTATTTACGAAGGCCATATATAAAACGAATAGCATTATTGAGCAGACGATCCAATTTGTTGAGAAGATATTGATTGGTGTCAGAATAGCAGACGTCAGCGTAGTCGAGGATAGGTAAAATGAGTGTCTATACCAGTGCGATTTTAGTGCTGAATGGGAGAAAAAATTTGAGTCTATAAAGAGATCTAAGCGTGTTGACTACTTTTCGGCACACTTCACCAATCTGCACCTCCCAGCTAAGAGTACAATCGATGTGCAGGCCCAGATTTTTTACACTGGCCTGAAACGGAATAATTTCACCGTTATATCGTATGGGCGCAATGCAATTTCTATCAATAGCTGACTGCTGGTGTGAACTACCAATAACTATACTTTGGCACTTAGATGTATTAACGGTCACACCGTAACAGTTGGACCACTCCAAAATAGTAATGAGATCCTGATTAAGGCTCAAAATAGCATCGTTGATGTTGCTTTTGTCTGCTTGAGCATATATTTGAAGATCGTCTGCATAGAGATGATAAGATGAGCGAAGACGAGAAGTAAGACAGTTAATAAATAATGTGAACAGAAGTGGAGATAATATGCCGCCCTGTGGAACGCCGGCAGATAAGTCACGCCAATCAGAAGTGCTATGATTGGTCCGGACAGCCTGCCGGCGCCCCCGAAGATATGACGAAAACCATGCCTGAGCTGTGGAAGAAAGACCGGTTTGCGAAAGGACAGCAAGAAGGATATCATGGTTAACCGAGTTGAAGGCATTAGAGAAATCGATCAAAACCATAACAGTGAGTTGCGATTGCTCCATACCATTACGGATATCTTCCAAGATATTAAGAAGAGCTGTAGTTGTACTATGTCCAGGTCGAAACCCGGACTGGAAAGGACTCAAAATCTGCAGTCGAGCTACATAAGATGAGAGTTGACTATGGACAGCAGCTTCCAGAATCTTGGAGAGGAAAGGTAGTATGGAAATAGGACGAAAGTGATTTGGAGTAGAAGGATTAGAAACTTTAGGTAAAGGAATAGTGAAAGCTTTTTGCCAAATGGAGGGAAATTTGCCAGAGGAAAGTGAGTGGTTAAGAATAAAGGTAAGAACCGGGAGAATACATTCTAGGATGAGAACGATCATTGTTCTACCAATGTCATCACTACCCACGGCGTTGGATTTGATGGACCAAATTATCTTACGGACAGTCTCCTCAGACAAAGGGCTGAAAAAAAACGGTTCAGAACTAGAGGGTGCCGTGGACTTTATGGAAGAAACGGTGGATTTAATAATGGAATTAGAAATCGGGGTTACAGATGAGAAATGTTTGTTTAGTTCTTCCGACGAGCATGAATAACCACACTGAGGAGCCGTCTTACCAAAGCCCAACGAACGAAGAAACTTCCAAGCATCGGCAATATTGGAATTTAAAATGTTGTTATGAATATATTGGCGTTTTGCTGCTCTTACCATCCCATTGCAACGATTTCTAGCAGTTTTAAAAGCGTTCCAATTGAAGTCAGTACGACATCTTTTAAAAACACGAAACAACTTGTTACGCCTTCTCATGGCCATACGTACACCATGGGTGATCCATGGCGCAGGTGGCCGTCTCAGTTTGACGTACTTTTTAGGCGAGTGTTTATCAAAAAGCTGTAACACACAATCATTAAATTGACCTACCATATTATCAACACAAGTAGCTTCACTAATAGGCGTCCAATCAACGGCACAAGCGTCATCTCTAAGTTTACCAATATCAAGCCTTGTGAAATTGCGCATCTGTACTAAGAGGGGTTTGGGTTTAGGAAGTTTTGCTTTATAAGCCACAAATATGAGATCGTGCCTAGAGAAGCCAGGCGCAGGCAATTGACCGTGTATAGAGACATTTTCTGCAGAAGATATGTAAATTTGATCGATCCACGAGTCGAGGTGGTGAGATTATGATGAGTGGGGTCAAGAGGAAGAATCGTGAGGTTCAACGACTCTACTAAGGATCGTAACTTGCGAGAAGAAACAGAGTCTCTTAAAAGGTCAGTATTAAAGTCTCCCATGATAATGTGATGAGTATAGTCAGTAGCAACTGAATTGAGAAGAGAATCTAAATCATTAAGAAAGTCAATAGAAGGTGGAACAGTATATTACTCCCAGGACAACCTTGACACCCAAAATGTCGACTTCAAGGAAAAGATACTCCATATAGCCAGAACGAGAGGAGGAGGAACTTAAGAGTTTGTAGGAAAGAGAACTTGACAGATAAATAGCTACCCCTCCACCGCTCCTATCCATACGGTCATTTCGAATAAGACTGTAGCCTGGGAGCTCATAGGACATAGAAGTTAGACACGGCTTAAGCCAACTTTCTGACACCAGCACGGCATGAACCGTGTTGCTAGAAAAGGTATGAAGTAAGTCGGAGTAATGCCTAGGAATACTCTGTGCGTTAATGTGACAAGTATTAAATGTGTCATGACACTGACCAAATTCACGCGTTAGAGAAATGCACAGATCCAATGAGTCATCGAGGGAATGGTAAGATGAATTTTCACTAGCAGAGACGCAACTTTCCACATCCGACATTCTGTATAATAATAAATTTAATATATAAAAATATGTAGACGTAACAATAAATAAACTATAAAACAATATCACTACCAATCAACAATATTCATTACACCGCAATCCACACATCCTGCAAGCAGACTGTTCACACATAACTATACATATAAATTTCAAACACAATTAATGGCTGTACAGATAATATGCCTTTGCTTGTTAAAATGTGTACAACGACACTAATAACAGGATTACCATGTTATGAATAAGACTTTAAAATAGGTAATAATTATTAGTTTTCATAAATATTGAATTAACAATGCTGGCATGACGACCTCCGTAGTTTGGTAGTTCATACGTCGATTCGATTCCCGGTCGGAACAATGTAGATAACGGACTTTTCTCTATTGTCTCGGGTTTGGGTGTTGTTGTGCCTTCGTTGTCTCAGATACTAATATTGGGTCTTTAGTCTAATTCGTTGTATAATTTTTTCTAATTTATCTTTAACAATAATTAACGATTTGAAATCTCATTTATAGCGCCCGAGATGTTTAAATATTTTTCTTGATACAAAAAATATAATTTGTTAATTCTTATCATGTGCAGTCGGGTCGTCTAGTGGTATATGGTGATTCGTCATGTTTAGAGGGTGGCGCCGCTAGGCCTTGTCATTGGTTGTTGCTCGCCGCCCTACAATATGCCTTAGTCGGCCACTTGCCCTCCTCACTGAAGGAGGCAGCCACACCAACCCAACACCGTCTGAAAGACGTGCACATTATACCTTCAGGTATTGTTATTTTTTATTACTTTTTTATTTATTTAAGCACAACCAACAAAATGTTCACCACAATCATATAACAGTAAAGCTTACAACAGTCACTTGTATATTATGTTTGTATGAATATTTAATAATTATCAATTTTAATATTATTTAAAAAATTTGCATGCTATTCATACCGAAATGTGCCTGGACTATTATTTTGCTGTTATCTTTATTGTAAACCACATTTCTAGCAAATAAGTTATTCTCTCTCTCTCTTTAAAATGGTGTTGCTTTAAAAGGTACTTAACTTTTTTTAATTTATACATGAAATATATCCAAAATTTATAATTAATATAAAAAGTTTAAATCTAAAAATAAGCTTAATTTTCAAAATTTCTCGCGAAAAAAACGACATGTAAACTAATATTTTAACTGATCTAAAATTTTATGTCTACTTTACATAAAATTTTAGATGATGTTCAGTTAAAATATCATTTTACACTTGTAGGATATTGAAACTAAGTATTCAAAAACAAAAAAAAAAAAGAAATAAAACATTTCAGTCAGAAAAATTTGTCCAGTTGTCCAATGTCTTTGGTACAATCTTTTTAACGACAGATAAAAGGCTAATAGATCCTAGCGACATTTTGTTATTGTCAAGTTATATAGGGTTATTTGGGAAACACCAACAGTCACGACGAGATAGCGAACACGCTACCATACCATATACCATATATACAGTAATAAATATAATTTAATTTAATGCTTGTATGTTGTAACTCTACGTGCAACAATGTGTAAGTCAATCACAGGGCGTGTGAACGTAGGGTGGTAATTTTGTCTATAATTAGAATCGATAATTTAGAATCTTATTTTTCTTTTACACAACTGCCTAGAAAGGAGTGTATTGTGTTTAGGGGTTAATTTACCTATATATATAAGTATATTATATATATAGTATAGTATAGTATATATACAGATATATATATAAAAAATTTATATATATATTAGTTCTGATATAAGTTTCATTATTCCACCATAACTTTTGAAAGACTTAACAGATATGCATGTAATGGAGACGTTACATCATTCAAAGTCAGACTGTAATTTGTAAAATATTCAATATGGAGGATGTTTTACGCCATTTCAAAAAAAAATGAAAATCAATTTTTCTTTTATTATAGCAGTATGATATTAAATTAAAGGTCTTTATAAGTACATTCCAAAGATAGCCTGATACTTCCATGAAATACATAAATCTTCCTAATATTATATTTTAAAACTCATATTTTTATATAACACGGACAATAAATATTTAAAAATATTTGTAAAAAAATCAATAATTTTAACAATGAAATACGACTTCAATAAATATTATTAATTTACGTTAAGTATATTTTGTTTTGAATCCAATGAAAATTTCCATGGGAATATTGCATACCAATAGCCTTATAATTATTATTTATGAAGCAAAAATATAACACGCAATATATGCAGCCGACTTTTGAGTTAAATACTACTAAAATCCACTCAGAAATACTTTAAATAAAAGTTTTATCATATGAAACTACTTAAAAATAAACTTAAAAAAAAAGCTATTATCCTGTAAATTTTTAGTTGGATTTCAGTAATTTTCATTGTCGCTATGATAAATAAAACCAAAATTTGTGAAAAAAGTCGTGTTAGTAATTTTGCGTGAAAGAAATGAAGGTATTTTTGACTTGATGTTTCTATACCTTCCGTAGCTAAAATGAGATGGATTCTTAAATATAGTCTCTTGTAATTGGCTCACAAACTCGATTAAAAATATTACAGGCTTATATCGAATTATTTCCGTTTTTCTCGTATTTGTATCAGGCTAAGATGTCAACATAAATTTAATTGCGACTTAAGGAATGAAATAATAAATAATTACATAGCTAAGTTCTGATATAGGGGGGACCTCTTAGATTACAAATGTTCCACAGAACGGTCCCCCAAGTGCGATGAGAATTTCTTTCTTGTTCGTTTCTTTAATTTTTATTTCGACAGTCTTATTTTTTTATAAATACATACTTATGTTAAAACTTATAGCTCAAATGTTGTTGCTTATGGTGGTGGTTATTTACTTAAATTTGTGATGTATTATAAAACACCCTGAATATTAGGGTCAGCAAATGTATTTTGCTGATGCTACTTATAAAAAAATAGTAGTACTGTCAACTAGTTAAAAAAAGTGAGATTTGGACAACCTCCGTGGTGGAGTGGCTTTGAATTTCAGTCAGGTCAATATGGAATATAAAGTTCTCTATATCGAGTCCAGCTTTTATGGTACCAACTTTACTTTAGTTAGATTATATTATTTAGATAACTAGGGCTTTAACTAATTAATTTGCAATGTTAAATGGTGTTTACTGTCGTTAATAATATTAATTTTCTTTTTCTATCAATCAGAGTTACCACGTCGGGCTGAAGGTGGTAGGTTGCATCTATATTCTCGTGTTTTGTCGCCGGACGGCGGTGGGCCCCGTCCGGTGCCGGAATGTAATACGGCTGTGACCTCACCGCCGCATCCGGTTCACGCGCCGCCTTCAGCACGCACACTAGCGCCCCTACACCCACCCACCGACCCGAAGAGCATTGGTAGGTATAAGTCCCGTAAATTGCTAATGCGCTGCAATCCTAAAAAACACCGGGTGACTTTATATGAAAATAGAAAGTACACATGGCAACAAAAGGCAAGAGATAATTATTATTTATTAATTATTGAAATATTTATGAATACTTCCCAAAATACTCGGTGGAACAGATCGACCGACACTCCCGAGGTTCCTGGAAAGTACTATTTGTCTTTAATATGATGTAAAAAAAAAATTATATGTCTAGGTCAAATAGCTTCGGAGATATTAAATTATAAAGTTTTTGGAAAAAAATGAGTGTTTTCAACCCTGAGTCAGCTGTTTTTGGGACGTACTAAGGAACAAGTTTTTAATCCATCATTGACTTCTATTTCTAAAAACGAAATAAACTAGTTTATGATTTATGAGACCGCTTTCATGCAAATTCTACCAGACAATCACTAAACAAGACATTTACTAAACAAAACATTTAATAAATCAATCTAAAAAGATTATTCTAATGTTAACTAATTTACATTACGTTACTACATTATTTCAAATAGTCAGAGTTTCCAAAAAAATGAAACTAAATGGATTAAATAACACGATCATTTATTAAAGTAGTTAAACTAATACATCATCCATTAACATAACAACACTAAGTAAGGGTTTGGTTACTTATTTAAAATGAAAATTCAAAAACAATTGCGTGGTAACAAAATATGAATTCGAAAAATAGATAAACTGAATTCGTCCCTTGTTATCAAAGGCAAGCGAACCGAGCTCCATTCACTCATTCACTCACCGTGCGCGCGACTTTTTTTGTTCTGTCGGCGTCGGCGCCTTTGTTTCAGTCACCGCCGGACATTTGAGCGTGAGGCACGTTACTGCATCACTGCCACCGTACAGCTGCGTAGCGACTTTTTGTCGATTTTTGTTTTGTTCTAGTTCATTTTTAATTCAATTTTTGTTAATAAGATACTACAGTGTTCGTCTTGAATGTTAAGTTTAGTTTAGTGAAGATTGTGTTTAGTTTTGTGTGAAATGTGATGTGTTTTGCGCGTGCAATGAATGCACTGGCATGCAAAAGAGCGTGCTTAGCTGTCTTCAGAGAAGAATTGGATATTATCTGCGTACAATCGATATTGCGCATGCGCGTTATAGGACTCTCAACTCTTAGAAATTTAAAATTTTTACTCCATTTTTACACCTCCTCTATTTTGAAATATTTGTCAAATAAAATGTTTGCATATAACCTAACTTGAAACTTTCGGCTGTGTCGGTCATTTTGTTGCTCCCTGTATTGTTATAATAATTTAATGACTTTTAGTTTGTTATTTTTTCATGAAATTTTGGAAAATAATAAATTTATATGTAAAAATTACGGTATATGTAAAATAAAAAAATGAAAAATATAACATTTTCTTTGCAATAAAGCGATAACAAAAGGAAAGGACATTTTTTAACCTAAAGTAATAATGAAATTTATTATAAGTGAAAATATGTTTACTTATTTTGAAAATCATAATTGCAGTTGCTATTTTAGTCACCTATAACAAGTAACAACAAAACTTATCAACAACAACCGAAACCAATAAAAATTTGTGTAATCTCAACACAATCCAGTTCAATAAGTGTACTTGTCAATCAGTTTTATTTTTTAACAGTACTGATTTTAAAAAGCAATTACGTCATCAAAATGGCGACCATTCGCAATAGCAATTTGCAAATAGGGATTTTAAATGTGTTCTTTCTCCCTTTTTAGCTTTATAAAACTTCTCAGGCTCACTTTCATGCTTTATTTTCTTTCCTGGCTTTCATTAATCTAAAGGGTATTACTACGGTTACATAATATGTAGTAAAAAGCGATATATACGAAGTAAATATACTTATTTTTTTTACTTCGATTTAACTACAAATAGCTTAGATAACATGCACTAAAGTTGAGGAGTGTGGGCTCGCTACATAAAAGTTTTGTAGAAAATGTACAAAAGCGTGAAACCATCTGACATTTTAACTCTATATATTGCTGTAATTTAATGATTATGCAAAAAAATTAAAAGCATGTGTTCAATATTTCCAACGCTCTACCTGACAGACAAACAAATAAAATTATCGCCATCTCTATTGTTATTTATTAAATATTACTAATTTCAGGGGCACCTGAAATTGAGGGTACAGAGCCGGCTCCAAGGGCGTGGCGGGGCGCAGGCGCAGCCCCTTCTCGATACCACTCCGTCGAACCCCCTGCCCCCACCTTACTTAGTCGTGCTCTGACCCTCTTAGCTATCATAGCTATAATCTACTGCATCACAGCACTGTGGAAACGATGCGGCAGAAAACTGCGCCGACGGAGACTTATGTCGCTGGCCACCTAGCGAAAGCTGAAATCGGGTTCGAAGAAGCCACCATAGGAGAACGCAACAAATGTTAGTGTTTTAACAATTAATTTGTTAACTATCTTCGGAAATATACTAATGTGCAGCGTCGCTGCATATTGGTGGCAATGCGAAAACAGCGGTGACGAAGACACATTGTCTTCCAAATGATGAATGACGAAAACTGAAATTGGTTCCTGATATATTTTGGAACAAATCAATTTTTTATGACTACCAATGTAGCCATAAGTCATTTCATGAAAGCTTGACTATTTACATTTGTTGTCGTGTTTTATTTCAATCAAAGTTTGTTTACAAACTTATTATTATCCATAAGGCCTTAGACATATCATTCAAAAGTGTATATTATTTAATTAGAAATCTATGGTTCTAAAAATCATATTAACAACAAATTAAATTGATATAAAGCCCGGGAATTGGGGTGATATAATAATAATAATAAACCATTGAAGACTCGTCTCAAGTATCATATGACACAGGAAGTTAGTCTAAACGTTGCTAAATGAATATGAAGTCGTAGAAAATATGAGATATTAGGGTAAAACCATTTGTGAGTAACATCAAACGATACTGATATTTTAAATTATATTATTTCGTTAAGATTTTTTAAATATTTAAATGTTATTTTTAATGCTGTTAAATTATAGATTCATAATAAAACAATATATCCCTTAAAATTGTAAAAATATAGAATAATTAAGTAAGTTTCTGGTGTGCGTTTTATGTTGCTGCCGTGCCACAGACTATTATTCTAAAAGTGTAATTAAAATATAAAAAATGTTTTAATTACACTTTGAGTGAAACGAAAAAAAGCTGTTATACTTGTAATTTACGAAGGAAAATTTATTACAGTGATAAAATACAAATTAGTGCGATCCTTTTTATTATACACCAAAATTCTACTGTAACTTGTCTTTGTTATGTTTGCATGTTCTGATTATTACCGTATTATATCACCGTAATACATTCCAAAATAACATATTAAATGTATACTACAGAATATTTCATAGTGAACGTACTTACTGTAAATACATAAAATAATCGGTATCTACTTAATAACATTAATTTAGTGCCAGTTCTATAATAACAGTACTTAATTTACCATGAAATGTAACACAGTTTTGTTTAAACGACTTTTTAGTTTGTATAAATAACCGAAGTTAAGTTGTCTATTTGCACCGGCCTTTAGTGTGCGATAATGCCCATAATAATAGTCTTGATTCTCCATCTAGCTAAATTGTTTTGAACAAACCGTGTACATATATTATTATTATAAGTCGCTCTTACGATATTTAAACAAAAGACTTTCTAGTTTACGGATATTATATATAATTAAAATAAGAAAATAAATTATTATTATGTAATATATGTTTTTATTTTATTAATTTTGTCGATATATTTTGTTAAGATGCATTGTATAGCATGATCGAGATAAAGAGAAACGACTGTAATATAGAAATCAGTGTGTTAGAAGGAGAGTCGGAGAGAAACAGATCTGTTGTAGCCTAAGTATCTGTACAGCTCGGTGACATTAGTCTTCATTGCATCATAAATTATCGAAAAATGCGTTTCTACGAAGTCGTATTAGCATTTCGAAAATAAAATAAATTTGGTATTCGGTTAAATAGAATAAGCCTTCAGGTATTATAGTAGTAGTAGTGATTGCCACGCGTAAGGCAAGACTTATAAAATAGTTTTGTAACAAATTAACTTTCTATTCTTGGTGATGATAAATCGGTACTTGACATCGGGGTCTTTGACATTAGAATGACGCCCTGCTATGATCTACTAAACCAGTAGTTTCGACGGAAGTTTGTTAGATACGCCCTTTATCATGATACGCGGATGAATTATCCTCTATGGTTCGCGATTGGCTTTAGGAGTTCGGTTACTTTAATGATTTCAGTGACAGCAAGCGTGTCCTGTTTAAACTCGCCCTTAGATCAGCGGTTTCCAAAACTCTTGGGCTCTGAACGATCTAACAAAGCTCAACGCTTTATATATGTACTCAAAGACGCCTCTGTGTAATAGCGCTGATCACGTGATATGTGTGACACGTCACACGCGAGTGAGTAAACTGGCGACTTAACCAGAAATTTGTTTACTATTTTCTTTGTGAAATGAATACCTGTGTTATGTCACAATTAGAGATGGGCTAAGTGTTGCTACCCCGCGGTTAAAAAGGGAAAATATCATTATTTATAATGCCCAATAGTGAGCATATAATTATATTGTTCAACGAAAAGTTATTGAAAAAATAATATGAATAAGTAATTAGATATAAATTGAACTTTTAGTTTAAGTTTTTATTGCAATATTGGTAAAATAATTTATAAAGAATGTTATTTATAATTATCTAATGTATTGATGAGTTCGGTGGGAATAATTTAGTTTGCAACTAAAAAGGTTATGTAAATTTCATGTAATATCAGACGTCTGAAGTGGTAATAAATTATCATTTTTAGTTAGTCTGAGTCTGCACTGCGATTAAACGCATACGTTTAGATAAAACTGAAAATTCAAAATCGCATTTCCAGTTGACTACCGCATGCACTTGAATAGAAGACCATGTGTATGACCAAGACATTATTTGCGGTTTTAGATTTGATTTATAAGAGGTCATTTATCTGTCATTTTTTTTTATATGTTATGTCGCCACTGTGGGCGAATAAAGTCGCGTGAAGCATAGTGAATCCTAATTTCTGAGACGTACTTTCTGAGTGAGACATTTATAAGTTCTCGAGAAATGTTTTAATTTGTTGCAGTATATATTAAAACCCTTTAACAATTAAACAACGAATTCTATTAATTGACACTTTCGTTTCATGTTAAATAAATATATGCCCAGTGGGCAGGAATTTATACGCTCCTATAGGGAATGTTATGAATTTACCTAAACGTCCGGGCATTCGCCCATCACTAGTATAAAGATTTATAGTTTTCAATAAATCTTAACTAAATGTCGAATAATCTGGCTACGGTTAACTCACACGTCCAATATTGTGTATAAACAGTAGCATGTAATCTTATTAACAAAGAAGAATGGCGAAATCAGACCCCATAATTTATAAAACCGTTCATGGATGGCAATATGACAAATAAATAATATATGATTAATAGATTTTATTTCTACAAATTGATGAATTTTAATGTCGGGGAACCAAACTAAAATATTAAATGCTGCTAATAATTATCAAGATAACAAAACGTCTGATGATAGTGCAAAAACAAAACGCGAAAATCTTCTTAAGAAACGTTCTGGTCTACGCAGAAGTACTTTAATAATAAAACTATATCTAATAATAAAAGGGTCATCTATTTTAATGGATATTATCGTTTCCTGTACATAACAATTAATTCTATTGCCTTTAAAGTACCATTAATACGCTTAATAATCGAATTTAAATTCAAAATAAGATTATATAGAATAGATTCCGTTCTCTTTAATTGAAAACCACACAATATGTCAAAGGGTTGTAGTTTGGATGGTTTTTGAAAAATCGATCACATACATCAACGATGTCAGAAGCGATTCTCAATTAATCGCGAGTTTTTTAAACATGTTCTATAGAATATTATCTGTCGTCATTAACTGCCAATAATAAGTGAGATATGTGATTTAATGATGCGTACCGACTGAGCGAATGAACGTCAAATATATATTCAATATAAAATCTATATATAATATATTATATGAAATACGATCTTTGAATACTTTCATAAATATTTATTTTATTCGTTCAAATTACGAATTGAATACTTGAGAAATAAAAAAATTGAAAGGTAAGATACCACAACCGATTTAAGAAGATTATTGCCAGTTCTGCAGTTGATTCGATGAAAGGTTAACGTATCGATTATTTTGGTATAAATAATCGATTGGTTGATTTTATTTTGACATGCTTGTTTTCATCTATGAATGTTCTATGATGATGATGGTGGAATGATAGCGGATGATTAGTTTGGTTTGTTTGTTGTGTGTTCGTTCGTGGAGTTTGATATTTATGTTAATATTCAACTTGACAATTAAGCATGTTTCTTTGACTAACGTTGATAATTGCATTACTTTTGGATTCCGAATGGCAATCGATTCGGTATATCAATGACAGTTCAATGTGTACATTGCCCTTATTTGTCACTTTCAGTTGTAATGATTTAATTAAAGGCAAAGGGATCTACTCCACACAGTCTAGTCATATGTTATAAATGTTTCATCTATTATAAGTGTCTGGATCTTGTTAGATATGTAACTATCTTAATCTAGTTTATTAAACGGAGTAATCTGGTTACCATTTTTATTTATTTTAACGGCCATTCAACGAAAAAGCAAAGATGCAATATATAACCCCACAAAGTATTTTATGCCATATCTTTTTAACCCCAACTTTTAAAGGAAAAAGACGATTGGGATTTTGTTACTTTAGTTTATACCTTCAAGTACACGTTTATTTCATTCATGAACGGGACTTTAAAAATTCAGGTCCAAAGCTATATGGGAGTTCGCCATTGTTCTTTATTATAAATTTATTTGTCAGATAAGATCTAGGCTTACGTTGAGGACTTAATAAAACAATAAGAAATGCCGATTGATTTTTATTTTATTGACCAAGATTCAGAGATCACACGCAATTTTCTTCACGTAAATTTAGTGAATTCAGCTTTGACCCTGGCGGTAGATGAAGTCCACCCTCTTCAATTTTGAATTAATTCTTGATTTATGTCCCTATTATAATTGCGTAGTTTTTTGCTGGCTGAGACTGACGGAGTTAAGCTTAATACTCGTTCCTATAGCCGATGTCACAGAGTCATTTGAGCTACTAGTTGTTTTTTAAACTGTTCTATGGCTATAATTTTTTGTTTTATTAGAATTCGCATGGTTGAAAACATTTTAAGGAAAAGTCACCATTCGTATGTTGCCACTGTGACATACCAAAAAAATCACGTGGTTTAAAGCCAAGTAGTACCTATGTTAAGCAGGC